ATTTTACGTGGTATTTAATTTTGTATCGCTTTTATAACATTTGTTCTGACTTCTGGTTGCAACGACATGCATTTTACACACACACAGTTAGGTTTGAAAACACTCCTGTTTGTTTCAACAAGAAACTCTTCAATCTTATATTGGACAAATAGTAATAATAGTTTCAATCAATACAAGCTTTCATCAGCTAAATTAAGTTGATACTTAGGTTTGTACATAATGCTCATGTATGGGTGTTTCAAACAGAAAGATTAATATACCATAATAACTCTACGTAGCTGGAAAGCAAGACAACCTGAATGACTTTCGTAATGAAAGGATATAAGGACTGTTATATATAAACGATATTCATGAAACTGTAAATATATTTTCAAAAGATCAGTTTTTAGTTGAAATAGGGACTAAGTACTTTAAGCAACTAATTTTGTATAATTGTGATAATATATATGTTAAATGTCGTTGCAACCAGACGGCAGAGCAAATGTTATAAAAGTGATACAAAATAAAATACCACGTAAAATAAAAATAAAAAGCCGTTCCAGTTGAAATTTGAGCATCACTTTGAGCTATAATATTATACACCCTGATGAATAAAAATAAAAGGATGACAAGAACACACTTATTAAACCATTTATTCCTAGAAACATTTTCTCCAATTTATTCTTTAATAAATTCATAAACTTGTTGGTTAGTTCTTTATTTATATAGACCATATAAGATTACGATAGTTGTTAAGTTAATAAGTTATAATTTAAAACGCTAAGCTTCACTTGATTAATATTGTTAAAGAAAGATCGAGAAATAACACTAATACATATAATGCATAAAAATTAGAGTTTCACACATTTAATTGAGTGTAACCAGGATTTTGTAGGGAAGGATTTGGTTCTTGTCTTATTTATATATATATGTGTGTGTGTTTTTATACATCTTAAAAGGCTAATATTGCCATGGAATAAACATAATTACGTTATGCCTAATTTTGCAGCCATTATTACTTGTATAAATGTGATTCAACAGGCATAAAGATGTAAAACCCATGATGTAAGTTTGGGTAAGCATGATGACCTAACAATAGAGAATTTAGTAGATCATAAACATATTTCCGTTTGATACACTTGCAATGCGCTAAATAGAAATGAATGTCGTCTGGAGTTAAATCACAGAATCTTATTTATTGAAGCTCAGTGTGGTGTCACAGCAGCACAGAATATTTACAGGTTAAAATAATTCAAAAATGGGCTGTTCGTTTGTTTATGGTTTTGGACAACGCTACACGATGGGCTATTCCTACCACGGGTATCAATACCCGATTTCTAGAGTTATATGTCCGTAGACTTACCGCTGTGTCGTGATGTTGTTTTGTTTTGTTTGTTTGGAAGTTCGCGCAAAGCTACACGAGGACTATCTGCGCTAGCCGTCCATAATTTAGCGGTGTAACACTAGTGGGAGGCAGCTAGTCATCAGAACCCACCGTCAACTCTTGGGCTACTCTTTTACCAACAAATAGTGAGATTGGCCGTCAATTTATAACGCCCCTACGGCTGAAAGGGCGAGCATGTTTGATGGAACGGGAATTCGAACCCGCGACCCTCAGATTGCGAGTCAAGCGCCCTTACCTTATTCCTAAAAATAGCACATTTATCACATCTAAATCATTATGTAAGTCTCGAGAAGGGAATCGTATGTCTGCTAACTAATATTTTGACTAAATTGGAAAGGTACTCTCGTGCCATCACAGCTTAAGCGAACTCTATACACAATCCCCTTTCATTGAAAATTCAGCGAGCACCCACAACACAACTAGATGTCTATGCTTTCATCATTTGGCATCAGATTCAGAAGCTCTCTCAGACTTATATTTTTACTGGAATATGGCTTGGTTGGTTAAAAGGTAATTCATATATAAATGATAAGGCACAAAACGTTCTTATCATGACATTGTACCTTTGATGTTTGTGTAGAATAGATTATTAAATTACCTAAAATACTCTGGTATTTTCTATGCTGTCGTCAGCTGCTCTGTCAACAATGCTGAATTGATATCAGTTCCAAAACTTGGTGTCAAAGCATTGCAAAAACAGTTTGCCATAGCACTCATAAACCCAATCCCTAGTTACGCTCTTAATCTAATACGCTCTGGAAAATTAACCTGAAACCCGTGAGAATGCACAGCTGTTTCGATCCATTTTGCCTTTAAATTTTATCACTTGATATTTTGATAATTGCTTGTTTTTTTTTCTTCTGTTTTTATGGTGCAATTGTTGATTATTGATGGTGCAGGAGATTATGACGGAAGTACAGGCTGTTATATGGGTGATATTAAAGCATATAAACATGGTTATACGAAAGGCAGATCATTATGATACAATTGGGTAGATCACGCTATAAAACAGCTTGAAAATGCTCCTACAAAGTAAAATATGACACCTCTTTAGCACTACCTTTACAACATGGCCGTTAAGAGCCGGTATTCCCCTACCCTGGACTCAATATGGAATTGAAGAAAGCGATTGGAATAATATCAGTGTCCAAAGAGCAAGGAACAGTAAAAACTACATCAACGTAAATTGGACAACTGCAATGTTCACAGATAAGTTTCGTGTTTGAATATCCAGAAGTAAACAGTGTATTCAGTGCAATAATATTAAATACTACCGTTTTGGCATAATGCCCGGTTTCCTACTACCAGGACTGTGGTGAGCTATTAAGTACAAGAAACCACAGGAGTTGTGGGTTAATCAACAACATTTTCATATTGAAGAACCATTGATTATTTCTGAAATATATTTGAACATTGTGAATGTTAAGGCTGTAACCCACCAACGACAATTCAGGGAAGTTGCCTTTGCACTTGCGAATATATGATCAGAAGTATTCCCCGCAGTTGGAGAGAGTGTAACAATTCTATGGCGACCCACACTCGTTACTAAGTATTCCCATTCATTAAATGCGATTTTCTTTCACAGACTACTACAGTCAAACTCTAATTCTTATCACTCTTAGTTAGATAATAATTGTGAAATATAATCTAATTTACTGAAGTTAATTTTCTACCTTTCGTTATATTATCTCATCGAACGGTTTAGTCTGTAGCACATATAGCTGACGTAATCATTCAACATACGGGGAAGACATAGGGGTCCTGGTAAATGAGTGAGTAAAATTACAAAAAAAGGTCAGTCTTTGGATCTAGTGAGTCAACTAACAAAACAGGTCAGTCTTTGGACCTAGTGAGTCAAATTATAAAACAGGTCAGTCTTTGGACCTAGTGAGTCAAATTATAAAACAGATCAGTCTTTGGGATCTAAGAACTATCCACTCTAAATCTGGTGGTAATTGGTCAACTGATTCATTAGTTATAACAGACACACACACATAGATTTGTCAAATAATGGTTACAGATTAGTGTGTTGTTGATAACTGAGAAGTGATACAGTTTGAAAATGTAGTTTTGAACACAATTTTCCTATAACTTATGAAAGATTAACATTTCTCAAATCACATACACACATATATACTTCATATATTTTCTTAAAATGTATAAATACAAGTGTATTTTGCATCAAGTGCTACTTCCAAAGTGTGTATTTATTGTTCAGGATAGTGGCAAACCAGACAAACTCCTGATTCTCCAGGGCGTGAACATGGATGAAGTATATTTACTGACAAAACATCTGAGGCAGTTGTATATTAACTACAGTTTCATTTACGAGTATCGGGGAAAATGGAGCATGAACATTGTGACCAGATGGTACTGCTGTTTGCTGGAGAAGTAACATCAAAAACAATACGCTGTTTAAGCAATTCGTAATCAGTATGATATAATAGCACAAACAGCTGGTACGTCCGTTTATTCGTATTATATACATGAAGCAGTCGTATCCTAGTAGTTATAGTGCCAGAGCTGTGAATCCGGGATTTTTGATTCGAGATCCACTTCTGTAAAAACCCTCTTCGCTTTTTGGAGATGTGTATGAGCTATAATGATGATGGTCAACCTGACAAAAGTAGAACAAGATTTGGCGATCAATGCTGTTGACTCTCTTCAAGTCTATCAGTTCAAACTTACAGGTGGCTATGAGCGATATTTTGAAAATGTTTAGATCATTAAGTAAATAAATACTCCAGCAGTCCTCTTTATCACAATTTTTAGTATTATCATTACAAGGCACTGAATACTTCTGAATGTTACGTACTTTGTAACACTGCACTGTTGCTATTTATTACAGAGATGCAAGCAGTTGTTAATTGAAGTTGTTGAAATAACTTCAGACAAACTGTAAAATAATTGTGATTGACATTGTGGAAACATGTTAAACGAACAAAATGTTTCTCAGAATATTGTATTGTATAATCGATCTGTATAAATTTATCAAATTAAATTGCATTCTAAATACAGAAAAAAAATTAAACAGTAATATTCATCATACTCAGAAACATCTTCTGATTGGTTCTACCTCAGCAGGTATATAATTTTGCGTTCTCTATTGGCCGACGTCAATTATTTGATGGGATGACTGTTTTCAGGTTCATTGCATTAGAGTAAAACATATTCTGAAAGATTTTTTTGAAAGTAAACGTGCACATGTAAAGAAAGGATAATGGGAGATCATGGTTATTGTGACTTACAAAAGTACAAAGGTTTACCTGCCGTCGTGTATTTCCTTAGATTGTTGCCTATATATGTAGGGAGACACGTGATTTTGCCACCAAGATGACTAGCTATCTATTTGATTATTGCACCGAGAAATAATTAGAAGATGCACTGCAGGAACGAAACAATGTACATCACAGATCGTGACGTGCTTATATTTACAGACGTGAAATAATTGCAAACAGCGTCCATAACACGTATATTTGTATTCGTGTCGACGATTCAGTTATGGTTAGTGCGTACACAGCAAGTATCCATTATGATAGACCTTATATCAGTCTCATAAGAGTCTACTAGAAAGAAAAAAAGAAACAAGGATTGAGGAAGATATTTATATGCTTACCGACAAACATAAATCCAAAGCTCATGTTGACATACATCATATCTTTGGCTTTTATGGCTGAACACATTCATTTAATTTTTTAAAAAGCATCCCCCTAGCAAATACATTAACAACTAATTCCGAGCTCAAAATGTCAAAGTTACTGAATATAACTTATATGAGAAATGATCATTTAGCGAGTTTGATCTAAGATCCTGAATATTAAGTCTGATTATAAAAAGGTATAGCAGCTACATTTTATCTTGGTCTATCCAATGGTAATGCCAAATAATTCATGAAATACGTTATACCAAGTTACCTAATTATAATTTTTAACGAGGCTGTACAAATTGATTTTTACTGAAAATAACAAATACATACCTTAGTAAGAACCACTTTTCATAAACTACATATTGCTGGTATAAAGTGGCATTGACATTCTATCTTGGCATGGTATAAATTTTGTTTCAACCCGAATGTAGAACCAATGCTATTTTAACTCTTCTCGTCTTTGTTCGAAACCCGAATGTAGAACCAATGCTATTTTACCTCTTCCTGTCTCTGTTCGAAACCCGAATGTAGAACCAATACTTTTTTACCTTTTCCTGTCTTGTTTCGAAACTCGAATGTAGAACCAATGCTATTTTACCTCCTCCCGTTTTTGTTTGAAACCCGAATGTAGAACGAATACTGTTTTACCTTTTCCCGTCCTGGTTCTAAACCCAAATGTAGAACCCGTCTTGTTTCGACTGTAATGAAAGACGTGAATATTTAATAAAATATGTGTCTTTTCGACTCTATCCACAATAATTAAAGGTTGTATTTGTAATGAATTTCGCTCAAAGTTACACGAGGGCTATCTGTACTAGCCGTCGCTAATTTAGCAGTGTAAGACTAGAGGGAAGGCAAGCTAGTCATCACCACCCATCGCCAACTCTTGGGCTACTCTTTTGCCAAATAATAGTGGGATTGACCGTCAAATTATAACCCCCCCACGGCTGAAAGGGCGGGCATGTTTGGTAGGACGGGAATTCGAACCCGAAACCTGCAGATTGCGAGTCGAGCGCCCTAACCACCTGGCCATGCCGGGCCGGTAATTATGAGATTTATTTAAATTTGTATACTTTAAGTCATCATTTTTTTTTCAAATATTGCATATTTATTATAGAGGTTTACAATAATCCTACCTATGGTTTGCAAGTTGTTGCACCAGTAATTCCTTATGTAATAGGCCTTTATGAATAAGGACCCAAATTCTGCAAAGCAAAAGGATAGCTTTGATTGATAAGGAAAGATGTTTACTTCTGAGATAATCTAGGCTTATGGAATTTTTTATGGGTACTGACTGAGAAAGCTGTTAGAAACAAATCAATTGAAACTGAGGCCAGACTGAGGTGGCACAGTTCATCGGGTGTCACAATCTATGGTCAGTAGATTGTAGTATAGATACAAGGCTATAGAAGAATACAACAGAAAGCCAGATCAGGGTCGCAGAAGAGCTACGTAATTTAGCCCTTAGAAATTACACCATCAATTCTAGGAGCTTCACGAACGAGCTTCATCAAGCCACTGGAGTGCATGCGTCGTGCTCAACGGTCAGGAAGAGGCTCCATGAGGTTAGGCTTAAGCCGAAGATACTAGTTAGACCCCCCTATATTAACCCCAAGGCACCGAACAGCCCGGATGACGTTTGCCCATGAACATATCACATAGACCCTTCAGCAATGGACCCCTGTACTGTTCTTAAATTAGAGAAGGTTCTGTATATCTTCAAGTGATAGAAGTGTTAGAGTCTGGAGGCGTGAAGAAGTGATATTCGGTTCGTAATATTGTCCACCATGATACGTTAGGGGTTAGCTCAATCATAGTCTTGGGTGGAATCTGCATGCAGGGGCGTACAGAACACTATGTCGTGGATGGAGAACCTCTGACAACAAGACATTACATGGATGAGATACTGCTACCCATTGTTCGCCGTTTTACTGGTGCTGTGGGAAATGAGTTATATCAGCAAGATTACGCCTGTCTTCACACAGCCATATTCACACAGCATTTGTTTTTCAAGACAACTCACCTGATAGTATAGGGAACAGGTGCAGAGATGTCATAAACAATAGAGGAGGAGCTACCATCTATTAAAGACTCATTTTGTTAAATTTGTTTATTTTAACGTTATTTTACTTTAATAATTGTGTAACCAAATACTGACATAATATGTTATTTTACTTTGATACTTGTGTAACCAAATACTGGCATAATATGTTATTTTACTTTGATACTTGTGTAACCAAATACTGCCATAATATGTTATTTTACTTTGATACTTGTGCAAAGGCATTTTTTTCGTTAATTTTCCTTTTTGTTATTTGTAAATGAATTTTTCGACTTGCCTGGTATTGTTTACCTGAGATATTTCTAACAAACATATTTTGTCAATACCGAACGTCTCTTTGTTGTTGTTATTTTCTTCAAACTTTGTAATTTCTGTGAGTGGAGTACAACCAGAATACTCTTAAAGTGTGTTAAAACATACCTACGTCTTCCATTCTTTGTATATTTATTATTATCATTACATATTTGTTCAAATAATATGACTAATATTTCAGCCAATTATAATACAAAGGTAGTTTTTTTTCACATAAAATTAAGACATTATATCAATATATATCTATATATAATTCATCACGAGTCTTATCTTCTCTTTATAATGTAGTTGTTGTCTAATCTGTGACGTACACCTCTGTCCTTTGTAAGTAATACGGGAGCCATGACATTCATTTTTTTGAATTCATGAACGTGTTATAACCAAGTATTTTCGAAATACTTTCACGTATTGATCTTAACGTTCACCATAGGACATTTCTCAAATGTGATCACATTTTGCTCGGTAACAGCTGTGTTAAAAAATATGATAATTTTTGTTTCTGTCCTGTTAGAAAGTTCCTACTTGCAGACTACCTATATTTAGTTTCTTTCAAAGAAATAAAATTACAGTTTTGTAATCTATTAATAAATTGATATTTCTAAACTTCAAATAGCCTAACGTTTTTACCTTCCAATATTGAATATTATCCATCAGCTGTCTAGACGTGGTAATAACGCATGAAAGACTTACTGAACTGATTCTTTAACACAAACTATTAAGTTTTTTTTTTTATTAGGACAATTAGTGATTCTTGTTATTATGAAACATTTTGTACTGTAAACCTCATAACATAAACATATAATGGAATTTTAGAAAACATACTTTCGGTTTTTAAAGCCTATTTCTATTGTTGTAAGGTCTTGAGTAAATTTTTGATAGAAATGAATTATTATGTTTATAGCCGGATATGGTTAACGTTTCATGTAACGGAATACAAGGTCCATGGCTCGCGCCGCGATGCCACTGAACATGCTCCATCATTTGAGTTGTTTGTATGTGAAATATAAGAGCGACAATCCTACTCTAGAGAATGTTGCTTACGGGTCGCCTTCCCTCTAATCAGTAGGTTAAAATTAGGGACTTCTATATGTAAACCTATGGACATCTGATCTGACTATTTAGTCTCTGTATCGTTGCAGGTATACATCGGGTCGAACATACCTTATCGGTATGTATTTCATCCTGGTCTGTTACATATAATCCTCCTATTACCTTAACATCTTACTCAAATAAACGTATATTAATTGGTTTCGACTATATATATGAAACACTATCAGTCCTCAATCATCTCACAACAGGACTACATTTCCAAACCATAATTTACGGCTAAATTTCACACGGCTAAGAAATGTGGTAAGTTTTATTTGTTTTATCAGCTTTTAAGCTTGTTTACATTAGTTATAAGTACCTTCTGGTGATATAGGTATCAAACCTTCATATAATGTCACGTCAGTCTGGTCAACGTGCCGGGTTGAGTATCAGAAAGTCTAAGGTTCAATTCTCAGAAACGTTGCTGAACGAATTATAAACCGACAGTCAAACCGCTATTCGAATGAAGTTAAGAGGTTTTCCTTCCTCCAATAGGTAGCCCAAAATTAGGGAAGTGTACGCCTGAGCCTAAATCTCTGACATAGCGGTTTGTAGGCCAGTAATAATTTACATAGTTTGTTTGTAATTAAGCACAAAGCTACACAATGGACTTCCTGTGCTCTGCCCACTACGAATATCGTAACCGGATTCTAGCGTTGTAAGTCCGCAGACATACCGCTGTGTCACTGGGGGGCAATTTACATGGATCAGTAAACAATTAAACAGGCACATTTTGAGAGCTGATTTTTTTATTTTAGTTCGAAAGTTGTAAAAAAATAACATATATCAATCTCGGAGAAATGTGCATTTTTCACAAAATTAAGAACTGATATCATAATGGAGGCCTCAGTGTCTAAAGACGTCACACATCAACTTCTATCCCGCTTACATATAAGGGTAAGAAAGCAAACGAAATAACAACTGACCTTATAACAAAGAAAGATTTTTTGGAAAAAAATTAAAATGTATAAATGTGTCAAGATTAATCAGTGCCTAAATGTGTTTCTGCTTATCTAGTGTAATTTCAGCATAACAGTTATAACAGAAATCAAGTAAAATTATTAGTTTCAATTTAAACAGTTATAACAGAAATCAAGTAAAATTATTAGTTTAAATTTAAACAGTTATAACAGAAATCAAGTGAAATTATTAGTTTTATTTTAAACAGTTATAACAGAAATCAAGTGAAATTATTAGTTTCATTTTAAACAGTTATAACAGAAATCAAGTAAAATTATTAGTTTCATTTTAAACAATTATAACAGAAATCAAGTAAAATTATTATTTCCATTTTAAACAATTATAACAGAAATCAAGTAAAATTATTAGTTTCATTTTAAACAGTTATAACAGAAATCAAGTAAAATTATTAGTTTCAATTTAAACAGTTACAACAGAAAACAAGTGAAATTATTAGTTTCATTTTAAACAGTTATAATAGAAATGAAGTAAAATTATTAGTTTCATTTTAAACAGTTATAACAGAAATCAAGTGAAATTATTAGTTTCATTTTAAACAGTTATAACAGAAA